TATGCCTACATACAGTGATTTACGGTATACTATAGTAAACTGTATTCATATTAATGATAATATTCTACCCTTTAAGTATAATCACATCTACACTTAGAGAAAAGTCATATCAGCAACTAGAAATTTGAAGACAAATAGCGCCTCAACTACGTATTATTATAAAAATAATAAATAAATCATATGAACTAAAAATCAAATTAATAAATCAGGAACATAAAAGTTAACGCTGGATATTCTGTGCGTAAAGAAATTTATACCTCTTATTCTACATTAATAATAAACGGTATAATTAGGTCATTTCAGTATTACAAAATAAAATGGAGTTACGCATATATGATGTTATATTGCCGAAGTTTTTCTAATTACATTAATCTTACATTGATGCTATTTACATACCGCTCGGTAGTCAAATTGTTTCTCAGAGGATCGACTATGAGAGGTGCATATGATATGCGAGCGGTATCAATGTAAAATTAATATAGTTAGAAAAACTTCGACAATATAACGTCATATATACGTAACCCCGTTTAATGTTGTAATACTGAAGATGACCTAGTTACAAGAGCGAAACGTTTATTATTAATGTAGAATAAGAGGTATAAATTTGTTTACGCACAGAATATTCAGTTTTTATGCTCCTGATTCATTTGATTGATTTTATTATAAAGTCGTTATTTGTATTATGAACTAAGAAAATATAGTACAATATTAACCATTTGTTACAAATAATTAATATTATTATATTTTCTTAATTCATGTCAAATTCCTATACGTATAAATAACTGTATGTATAGATAATCAGGAATAAAGTTACTGAATTTTTGTACAGAACCGAAAACTATACTGAGATATATATCTCTCATTTATTTTTGTCTCCGAACTCAATGCTGCGCCTTTTATTGTATGCCAAGTGATTTTCTTCTTAGGAAAAATTGAACTCCGTTGTGTTGCGTCCCTCTGGTGGGAAAGCCGTGTACTGCTCGTAGATAAGCGACTTTAATGAATTTTTATAATATAAATAGTAAATTTTTAGTTAAAAATATAATCAGATGTACACTTAATATAGTCACACCGTTTAAAAATATTTGTTTTTTAGCTTTTCTTTACCATTATCGCTTAGTTATTATTACCATATAAATAATTAGCGAATGTCAAGAAAATTACATTCACTATAATTACGATTGCATTTACGATATAAAAATATAAAAAATCGTATCTTAATATTTTACTATATTAATAGGTGAAATTATTATAATTTATAGTACAATTTTTCCATATTTGAGAGAACTATACATGTAAAGTTATTATTACTAACATTACAGCAGTAATAAAAATCGACCTTCTAATCATAACTTTTTAATGATGCAATTGAGGGGATGGGCGGAATAAATGCACAATTCTACTTAGGCCCTTTTTCCGGTAATTAGCTTTTTCATATAATATTGATCGTAATAGAGAAGTATTGTAACATATAACTTCTTAAAGACATTACATAAATTCATTTGATATTGTGTAATAATAAAATTTGTGTATAATAAAAAAGTAGTAAATTATTTTAATTTTTATTAATATCAAGATTTTGTAATTAGGCCTTTATTCCGCCTATCCCCTCAATTATAGTCACAAATACCAAATATTTTTTCTCAGTGAAGATAAAAACAGATAAAAGCAGATAATGTAAGAAGGAGAAGGATAATATATGATCTAAGATAACAAATGAAAGAATAGAGATATTTCGTTCAAATCAATCTCAATTTGAAAAATAGGTTTAAAAATGTTCGTTATTTTCGTATTTGATTCATTTCATGGCACTTTTATGGTGTATTACATTATAATTACTTTGCATTACACACATAATTCCTTTTAAATTAAATAAATCCTATAAACATATATCTGTATGTCGAGCATCTTCTATAAAGGACCAAATGATGTAAAAAAGCATCACAATTGTTACTTGTAAAAAATTTCAAACTGCAACACATTGTGTTCCTATTTTATTCAATTGTAAAAAAAGCTACTTCTAAATATCAAAATATAAATCTGAGCTCTATAAATATCGATTTTAGATAGTATTTTTAAGAGAAAAATTCAAACAATTAATATTATTAATACGGTGACAATACGATAACAATAGCCAATGACAGAATCAAGAGAATCCGCTTAATAACGTCACATCGTGTCGGTCTGACTTTCCGCCCACGCCTACGTGTTTTTCACCGAATACCGACTAATGAGTCATCAGCTAGCATGATATTCGATGCGTATCGTACATCCTCGATTTGGAAAATTAAACGTATTATAACTGAGAATACATAACGGAAAGGAAATCCGGTCGAATAATTTCTACTCTCTCGTTACTTATCATTATTACATATCACGTAATAAACTATACCACATAAAATGGTTAGCAAACAATTAAAAAATTCTACTGTTTCTTCAAAGGTATAATATTTATACTATAGGTATCATATGTGGATATATTTGTCAAGATATAACTTGTAAAAGTCTTACAAGAAAAATTGTATAGTGATAATGAAAACAACATTCTGGACAATATTTTAAATGTTTAAATATATGTGTATAACGTGGAATTCTAACAATTCGACAAAAACAATCTCTTCAAGATTTCCAACGAAAAATATCACACATTTTACATGTCACTATCCATTTCCATTCATTCATCAGTGACGTTAATAATGTTGCATGAATATCTTTATCCGATATCGGTGGATTCGTATTTTGATTCAATCGATACGCTTTCACGAAAAACACGAAGGAGTAAACAGCGTATTCGTCACGTCATCAACGATGTCATTGACAAGTTGACGTAACAATGATAGCGTTATCAATTAAAGCGTGAATCTTGGCGAATTTCGAAGCCGGCTCCACACAATGCGCTCGAATATTCGACAAGTGCAATCGCGTCGCATTTATGTGACGAATTTCGCTGCATTGTACTACGGCACCGTGCGTAGTCACGATTAATCTTTTCATACAGCGCGACATTCGTTTCAGCTCGGAATATTCGTTGCGTTAATCTATTGAAGCTGACAAATAACAGACACGAATTTTCCGTCCACAAGTAATTTTTCATTTCTGTCCTACAACATGGTATGATAAATAATTGTCGAAAGTATCCGATACAGGAAAGTTTCCTCATTTCGGAGCATGTTACATTGGAATAATGCTGTTTTCGTTGAAAGACCGTTGGGAAACCTCCTCGATATAGGCATGCGATTAGCGGAGATTTAAACCGACCGTCAACTCAATGAATTCAACCTTCCGACACCACAAACGTATACGAGTCCGTTAAAAGTGAAACTCTATGAAACAAGGTGTGCTCATAAAGCTGATCACCCGCTGTATTTTAATGAAATGACGACATTGACAAAAAGTGATCCAGTTAACTTCCGGAAGGTTGGTGCATCCCATACCGATCGTGGCGTGAATGAACGTGGACGTCATCCTGCCAAACAACATCGGGAGCGACCTTCGTCGAGGCAGACACCGATCTCACGATACGGCAATGAGAATATACTCTCCATTCATCGGTGTGTCGCCAATAAATGACAAGGTCGGCCATAGTCGCCATGGACCCACCGGCTTGGTGGTCCGCGACGACAACGAACACCAGCATCGTGATATAATGACCGATGGTCATTCCGAGTGCGAACACCTGTCAGCTCGGATCGTCGAGGTGGGCCGGGGCGAGCGTGGGCGAGCGGATGAACGCCTGTCATCCACCGGTTGTGCCTCCTCGGCGATTCTTGACGACTACTTGGACTTGCGACGAGCCCGTGTTGCCGAGTGAGTGACACTATCTTTACGGTCGAGTCGTAGGGCGTGAGTCACGCGTGTATGACGACGACGACGACGATACACACGTATGCCGACGGTGCAGCTCCGAGCATCGTGTACAAGGAGTGGGAAAGAGAAAGAGAAAAAGAGAAAGAGAGAAAGAGCGACGAACTAGCAAGAGTAGTCACTCACCGCGACGAGGGCTGCTAATCTATCCTTGGTCATGGTGAAGGATGACGAGGAGTTGCGAGTCAGCGGGCGGTGTACGGAGCGACGTGTCTAGCGAGTAATCCCATTCACGGTTTTATCCATGTACAACGTGCACGTCCACTAAAAAACTAAAGGAAACGACGGACGCACTGGCACCGTGAGAGAGGCACGATCGTAAAATCGATACATTCGCGAACTCGCCTGCTTCTGCAGTGCCGTCCCGACGCGGCGCGCACGCGCTGATGACGTCAACTTCGTCTCACAAGTACGGATGCCGCGGCGCGGCGCCCCGCGAACGCCGTCAAACGCCATCATCTTGAGAAGCGAACAACGAGAGAAACAGGGGCGGGCACGACCACTATTTATGAATCCTCGGGCCGTGTTTTTATAATCGTTACGTCTGCGATAGGCGCCAATATGCTCATATTTGTCTATCCTATAATATAAATACATATACATTATTGTACGTCATACTTAAGTTGAGTATAATATATATATATATATATATATATATAAAAAATAAATTTGTTTTTATTTCAAATTTTCATAAAAATTCCACCGAAAGTAGCAATAATTGGAAACCGTAACTAAGAATCGAAGAATTAATATTTGAATTTGTCTCGTGCATATGCTGAGGGAGGGTTTGTCTCACGTCGAGACGATCCATTAATAAGTGTTAACTTTAGTGAATGTATATACATCTGCAAGTGTAGTACTAGTCAATGTACACATTTACGTATAGTAAATGTATACATTGACTACAGCAGACTACAGTAAGTGTATACATTCACTGAATTAACACTTTGTGACCTATATATAAAATAGAATATCAAATAAAATAAAAATTTAATAATTAAATTAAAAGCTGTTAAATCATTTATTATAAACGTAACTCACGTGTATTTTTTCGAATGCGATTATTTATCTTCTGTTGTCATTTTTTTATAATGTTTTAACTCTTAACATTTAATATTTATATAAAATATAAATATCAAAATAAATTATATGTTATTAGTGAACAAATACTTTATCTATATATTCTGTCGCTTATATATTCTGTAACTTAAATTCAAAATAATTTAATTAAAATAAATCTGAATTAAAAAATCTTATACATAACTTATAATTAACACTTTATTGTCTCTCTATAATTATACCAAACGTCCATAAATGAAATAAGTTCTTCTAAAATGTCAAAATGTTTTCATAAATCGTTATTTGTTGTATGGTATATACAAAAATAAATATTTTAATCAGCTGTTAAATTATTTAAACATAAAATGAGATTTAAATATTTAATTAACTACATTACACTCTTTTATACTTCAAATAAGTAAAGTAATTTAAGAAACAAAAAAGCCAAAGAACGTAATGGTTAAAAACATTTGATTCGTAATATCTTTTTAAATGCATTCCCTAATTATTAAATTGGCGATAAATATCTAGGTATTATCCAGGCCGTGGTCCGAATCATGCTGACAACGCTCATGAGCATTGTTTGTCTTCGTTTAATATTTGACAAACAACAAGGATGAAATGATTTTTAAGCGTTGTGAGCGTGTATCGGACCGCGGCCCCAAAGTTCTTTGGCCAACAACACTTTCTTTTCTTCACGTCGGAAATGGTTGAAAAGCATTGGGTGGTATCGGACGATTTTAGAGCCTTAGATTGGCAACACTGGTTACCCGTCACCCTGCTTTAACACGTTTTCAGTTCTCTATTTTCTAGTACTTCTAGCCTAGCAGTTCTAGCCAGTTCTAGCTAGCCACACGCAAAGAATCATGGCGTTTATTCCCTCGAGGGCGATGTTTAATCCCGGTAAGTGCAAAATATCTAATACAAGACATGTTCACGATAGCGGCAGAATTTTAAGGCGAATTTTCGCCGATCGTTTTACCACTTTTCCACCGAAATGTATTTAAACCGGTTATCATACACGATTGTTGTTGCAGGAGATAAGGTTAAGTGCGTATAGTAACATGGTACTTGTTTTTCATCACGCAAATCTTTCTGTTTCAGTGTTAAAACAGACTCTCAAGCAAATTATTTTCGCGAAGCAACTACTAAAATGTGTAAGTGAATGGTTGTCATGAACAATCCCTTAACTCTCTGGATTTATGGTCAACAATCGCGATTCTCAATAATCGCATAATGCTGATACTATTTCTTCTCTTTTTATGTTCTACAATGAGTTGGTAGTCGGAAATTTTAAGTCTTAAACAGTTTTACTCTAAATAGGTGACCATGATTTTTAGCATCTACAAGTTAATTGTACAACAAATTGTTTAGCTTAATTAATAGGAAGGAAAAAAGTTGAATTTGGCCAGTCTTAAGAAAATTGATTGTCTTAGAGTACTATTTCATTCATGTGTTTTGTCATATGACAAATGTGTATAGGATAGTGAGGTCCTGGATCTCTCTAGCCAATGAACTGCCTTGAAAAATTTGTAGTACAACAATCACACAATCACATATTCTACAATAAGTCATTAGTAATAAATCAGAAGTCAGAAGCTAGAAATTGACCAATCAAAGTCAATCAATTCTTCTCACATTTGATTATGATCAATTTCTAGCTTCTGATTTCTGATTTATTACTAATAGTTTATTGTAGAACCATCATAAGATTTAGGACTATCAACTCATTATAGAATCAGCGTAAGAACTAATGTTTAAATTGTTATTTATAAAAATTTGATTGTAAATGAGCGCCGCTTTGATCAATATTTTAATAAAAATTACGATGTTTTTACATTACATGTTAAAATATGTATGGAGTGGGGCATATGGTCCCTTAAAGTGTTACAAGCTGTGTAACTACATATCATTTTTTAAAAACAGCTTACATCAATTAATTTATTTCATTGTTCTGTGCATAAAGGTATATTTATCAAAAAATTAGTATGTACTATATTTAATATTTTATATGCTAGAATAAAGTACTACAGCTAATAATTAATTTTTTAATATTTGTACCTTAATACTTTTGTATACAGAATAATATAGGGATCTTTCATCTTCGAAAAATTGATTTTTTTTTGTTTTATCATTATTAGTCCCCCTTAAAATCATTCAATTTTTGTTTGAATATATTTTTAGTTCAACGCATACTTTCAGGGATAATACTTGTAACACTTTAAATGCATCCCTCTGTATATAGTTTGATTTTACTAATCTTTTTATTTTTATATTTCATTAATTTACTGTCTTGACATAAATACGTTCATATATTGGCCATCTTTTGGTATATGCTGCCATGTATGAAAATGTATAGTAATGTGAATTATAGATTTTAGTATTGGCAGTATATATACCTATATATCGAAATGCAGTCATTGGCTTGGTGTTATAAAAATGATATAATTTCTTGCTAAATAGATTACATTTAATTTTATATCATATACTTTTTAGCAATGTCGTCAATTGAACAATCGGCTATTCCTTCCAACTGTTACCAGTCAGAGATTCTATGCTGCATATACAGAAAAGAAGATATTCAGCCGCGATAAACCACATTGCAATATAGGCACTATAGGTCATGTAGATCATGGCAAAACCACTCTGACAGCAGCTATTACCAAAGGTATTTATTTATAGAATGATTATCTGTATAAATGAAGGCATAAACTAACAGAAACTTGTAAATAGTCTTGTCTGAGAAGCAATTAGCAAAAGCTAAGGGATATAGTGAGATCGATAATGCTCCTGAAGAAAAGGCTCGTGGCATTACCATTAATGTCGCACATATTGAATATCAAACAGAAGGTCGTCATTATGGACACACAGATTGCCCAGGTCATGCCGATTACATAAAAAATATGATAACAGGAACTGCTCAAATGGATGGCGCTATACTGGTCGTCGCTGCCACGGATGGTACAATGCCACAAACTAGAGAGCATTTGCTTCTTGCTAAACAAATTGGTATCAAGCATATCGTTGTGTTTATTAACAAGGTGTTTATTCTTATTAATACAATATAGGCGAAAGCAGCAAGGGTCAAATAATAACGTATTAAAATTTTATTCAATATTTTCAAGGTCGATGCTGCTGATTCAGAAATGGTAGAATTAGTAGAAATGGAAGTACGAGAGTTGTTTTCTGAAATGGGTTATGACGGCGATAATATTCCAATAGTAAAAGGTAGTGCGCTTTGCGCACTTGAAGGAAAAAATCCTGAAATAGGTTCACAGGCTGTTCTGCAGTTGTTAGAAACAGTAGATAAACAAATCCCGACTCCAATGAGAGAACTGGATAAACCTTTCTTACTTCCGGTAGAAAATATATATTCTATTCCTGGTAGAGGTACCGTGGTTACCGGTAGACTAGAGCGGGGTAAACTAAAGAAGGGAACAGATTGCGAGTTTATTGGTTATAATAAAGTTTTTAAAAGCGTAGTCACAGGTATAGAAATGTTCCATCAAATATTAGAGGAATCCCATGCTGGGGATCAACTTGGCGCTCTAGTGAAAGGTTTGAAAAGAGACGAATTAAGAAGAGGCATGATAATGTGTAAACCTGGCTCTTTGAAGGCGTATGATCACGTAGAATCGCAAGTGTATCTGTTGAATAAACAAGAAGGTGGTAGGAAAAAACCGATTGCGAATATGATACAGTTACAGATGTTTTGTAGAACGTGGGATGTTGCAGTGCAATGTTCGATAGTGGGAAAGGATTTAGCCATGCCAGGAGAAGATAGCACGTAAGATATTTGTTTTTCAAGAATTTTATTATTTTCTACGTTCATTTTTCTATACTCACTGTTTTTACTGCAGACTCGTACTAAAATTGCTAAGACCAATGGTATTGGAGAAGGGACAACGTTTTACATTACGAGATGGAGTAGTAACTCTAGGAACTGGTGTGATCACTAACACTCTGAAATCACTTACGGACTCAGAGCGACATGATCTTCTCGAGGGCAAAAAGACACTGAAGAAGGACAAGAAAGCGCAACGGAATTAGACTCAATAAGTATTTGTTACAAAATAAAGCAGAATTGTGCTGTGTAATAAAGAAAATATAAATCAGCTTAGTGAAAGTTTGATAAGATACGCAAGATATGACCATCATAGATAATATAATGGATACATAATTTACATATTTAAAGAACGCATTTCGCTACATTGTAAATTGTATAATTTTATTCATTAACAAAGAACAAGTATCAATTCAGTTATTGAAATATATAGATATATGTATGTGTGTATACACACACAGGATGGCCCTCGTAAGTGTTACAAGCTATTATCTCTAAAAGTATGTGTCAAATGAAAAATATGTTCAGACAAAAGTTTTTAACTTCAAGGGGACATAAAATGAAACGTTGGCATTTCAAGAATGGATCTGGACACGTAGGAAACCCACGAAACGCATAACCTTTATATATAAAATGGAACTATTGGTTTGATGTTGGCAAAGTCAGGGCAAGATCAATTTGAATTTTTTAAATGGAATTCCCCACTTTTTATTACATATTCTTGTAGCACATCTCAAGAGCTTTCCAAAACACTATAATAAAATATTTTTTCATGAAATACTTTTCAAGTCATTAGGTAATGTTAATGCTAGCAATATTATAACTTTCAAGCCTTATGATAAAAATGGAGGGTTCCATTAAAAAATTTTAAAGTTACTTTACCTCGACTTTGACAAGGCCACCTAAAGTCAAACTAATGATTCTATCTCATGTTCTCCTCAAAGTCATAAAACTTTTGTCTGAATATATTTTTTATTTGACATACTTTCAGAGATAATAGTAGCTTGTAACACTTTACGTGGGCCATCATGTGTGTGTTCATAGAGTATTGCTTTCATTCCTTCTTCAGTTTTCATGTATCTGCATTGGTAGATGTATTGTACAAGTAAAGTTTTAAATAAATAAACCATTAAATTAGTAAAATGGATTATACGGATTAATATGAATCTGAAGGCGTTGTAGCTTCAAAAACAGTTTGATAATTTATTAAAGTTCATACATCAGCGTGATACAATCTGCTTCAAGCAGAACAATGAAACACTATTAGAAGTATACAAGAATTAAATATACATGTTGCAATGTGTTATTCCCAGTTCCTTTCTATGTTAGATATTTAGCGATGTAATTTACATGTAATGTATTTTTTCTATCAGATTTCTCGATTAATGGGAATGGATTTCAAAGGGAAAGGTTAACAATTTCACACTCCTAACACAGAACGGATTTCCTTGTGTAGAAAAAAAACAATTCATATAATTTAAGTTGAACAAATCATACATACATCTTTTGCTTATAAAAATAGCAAACAGTCCTTGTCGAAACGGGACAGACGCAACAGGTTACGAATCTGTTTCACTTCAATCTCGAAACATTCTTTCTATTAAAATAGAAGACTACACCACGGGAGATGCTTACTCACGAAAGATGGTCGCTCTCTCAACATTCGTACCTTTCAATTTACACACTAGTAAGTTTCTTAAGCAGTTTCATCAAGAAAGTGTATATATGGCATAAGTTAGTTTTTTTTTTAATGATACTTCAGTCCAGTTTTATTTTGCTGTCCATACTTAAGTATGCAAACAGTGACTTCTAATATTAATTTTGTAAATATCGCAAGATTCTTTCTCGTAAATTAATTACTGCATACTGATCTACTATGTTTGCGTTCAATCGAGAGCAAACGTGTTGTCTTGTTCTATCATAGCGAGATTGAAGTGACTTGCACCAAGCGTCTTTAGCGATTGACCGATTAGCCAATTGCTACAGAAAATGTACCTGGATTTATAAGAAGACGCATTTGGTACTAGTGCAGTTCTATTTGCTACATTTGAACCTGACAGCAGTTTCGCTCACAATTTTATCCGTTTCAGAATTGGCAGTTTTTATCTTATACTTTGTGTTAGGAAAGTATGAAAATAAAACAAAAATAAAAAACAGATGATGTTACTTTTTATATGCCTTAAAGTGGGTTAGCGTGATTGTGTGTTTAATATACAGCACGCCTTACACAATTCCATTTCTTATGTATATATGTACATACACACGCACGCACGCACGCACATCTATACAAACGAGCGAATCTGAAAATGTAATGAATTCTTTTTCGGTTGTTTCATATTACGTTGTATCAGCTTCAGTCAGCTGGGTCCTATGAATTCGTATCACAAGTCATTTCCGCAGTTTCACCATTACTTTATTCTGTTTCTAATTTACGTGATAATATATCACCATTATTACATAAGAATTTTATAAAATCTAGACATTCAAGTGCACATCGCATACACAATCACACACATGTTGCGCATTCCGTATTACAACGTATTTAAGCGACCCGTCTTTAAGGCTATACATGTAACATGCAAATTCACAGAAGTTGGGTGCCCAGCATAAAGCATCGAACTAAATATTGCATGTAAATTATATTTTTCTTAAAGAAAGAATCTTCGACTTCTATGAAGATGTACGAGTGCGCGATACGACCACGGAGCACCCGCATAATAGGCCTTACTCTCTGTAAAGACCATCCCCAATGTGTTAAATAAACTAAAGATCTTCATCATCCTCTGGTAATGCTGTTTCTTGAGCTTCTTTAAGATCTTTCTCAATTTGTTGCTGCCATTGTGGATCCATAGTAACTTCCGGTGGCAGCAGCGCAGGCATAGCGACGAATTCGAGGTTTGGATCTCCAATCAATTTGCGTGCTAACCATAGGAAAGGTTTCTCAAAGTTGTAATTGCTTTTTGCACTGATATCGTAGTACTGTAACATAAAGATTATATATTTTATACACCTTGTAAAATTATACAGAGTGTCTAAGATTTAACGGACAAACTTACAGGAGCATTCTACAAGTGGAAATTAAAAAAAAAATGTTATATGAAGGTTTGCTAGAAATGCTTTATTGCAAAATCATAAACAAATATTGAAACGGAATATGAAATAGGAAACAATGGATTTTCCATTATGCATAGGAAAGTGTATATATTGTATTGAAAAGATCGTATTTATCTCATGTGCATTCACGTCATATATATTATGTTTAAGAGAGTATATATACCTAGATGCGTTAAAACGAAATCTATAGGAGCATTTATACTGGCTGTAACCATATGCCGTAATCTGTAAGAATTGATTAATCACAATCGAGTATCCCTCTCTTACAGTCGTCTGAGAGGGATACTAAATTGGTCAACTTTTCAGATTACGGCATACAATTATGGCCAGTATAAATGCTCCTTAATTTTACAAATTTTTTGTAGAAAAAAATAGGGAAGTTGTTTGTTCCATTATAAAGACCATACTTTTTTCTATTCCACATTTAAAATTTATTAAAAACAATAAAGAATATGTTGTTATTTAATATCTTTTAGAGGTTCTTTCATGTTTTGAAAAAATGGATTTTGTGCTAACCACTGCTGCTCCCACAAAAAACTCATCTGAAAGCAGTGCCACGAGTTTCAAAAGTTGAAACATGGCTCTATCATCTTCACGTAGCTATTTATTAAAATAAAATATTATGTATATTTAACCAACTGCCATATTACTCAAATATAATATTTTAAAAACCGGTTACGTCAAGAAAAAAGTACACCTATGTTTTAACTTGTAGCATTATTTTCAGATGAGTTTTTTTATGGGAGCAGCAGCAGTGATCATCACAAATCTCATTTTTTCAAAATATGATTTGGAAAAAAGTGAATAGCAATTTTAATAAAATTTAAACATAAAATGTAAAAAATATAATCTTTATAATGGAACAAACACGACTCCTCTATCTCATTTCGTTTTTTTGGCAAAAAATTCATAAAGTTTTATTTTTACGCATCTAAGTGCTCCTTTAAAGATAGTGAATATGACATGAATGCACACACAAGATAAATACATTCGAGTTTTCCACAGACAAAATATACATTTTCATATTATGTGCAATGGAAATTCCATTGTTTCATGTTCCATTTTAATATTTGCTTATAACTTCACAATAAAACATTTCTAGTCAAATTTTATATTACATTTTTTTTCTTATTTCCACTTATAAACTATGTTCCTGTAGTTTGTCCGTGAAATCCTAAGACATCCTGTACAGACACAATACTGATCAGATTTTCAGATTAGAGGAACAGTATGATGTCTTCACTTTATATCAGACCATTGAATCATCATTAAAAGATTAATAAAAACATGAAAAACATTTGAAGGATAGGGTAACTCCGGTATATACGCCGCGCTGGGATTTATGTCGCGGAAGTCAGAAAAAATAGGAGTAGGGGTAATTTTCTCGCAACTACTCTATTACATGCCTTTATGTTATATTAATATTGAGTTCTAATTTCAGCTTCTTACTGTTAATATTAATGAAATTATTGTGAGTTGAATCGATTACTGTGTATGTAACAAGTAGCATCATCATAAATTATAATCTACATAAAATGATTACTGTAAGGAGTGTAAAAGACCTAGTGGCTATTTCGTGATACATACATGTAGAGGAATAGTAAAGCATGTTATATAGCAAAATACAAGTGCTTTGCTTTTGTATTCTTTGTTTAGTTTGTTGAAACCCTTGCATTTTTGCCATACATCCCACCCATTATCTATATATAGCAAAAATGCAAGATTTCAAAAAGTTTATTTTTTAATACGAAACATAAATATTTCTTATTTCTAATATTTTTTTCATAATAGTAGACAGTACAAAGTTTTTACTGATATAGTTCGTTTATTTTAAACATAGTAAATAATACTTATGCCCGATTTCTTCACTTCCAGATAAGTTGCGGACAACCTTATCCAGGAGATATCTCCATTGTATTCTGGGAGATATCTTTCGGATAAAGTTATCTAGAGGTGAAGAAATTGGGCATTAATAAATTAAGTTTTTGATAGATGCGGCGTATATAGCGGAGTTACCCTATACAAGAAAAATAGATATATAGTTAATGTTATTTGCATATAAAAATACCTGGAGATTCTTCTTCCTATGAAACACAATGCTCTTGGCCTTGACTTTTCTATCCTTGATGTCGACTTTGTTACCACAAAGGACAATTGGTATGTTTTCACAGACACGGACCAGATCCCTATGCCAGTTGGGTACGTTTTTGTACGTTACCCTGGATGTAACATCAAACATGATAACGGCACACTGACCCTGAATATAGTAGCCATCGCGGAGACCACCAAATTTCTCTTGACCAGCTGTATCCCAGACGTTGAAGCGAATCGGTCCACGATTGGTGTGAAAGATCAATGGATGGACCTCGACTCCTAGAGTGGCAACATACTTCTTCTCAAATTCGCCGGTCAAATGCCGTTTGACGAAGGTGGTCTTGCCAGTACCACCATCGCCAACCAGCACGCACTTGAAGGTGGGCATATCAGGTTCATTTGCCATTTTGACAGTTAATTTTTAGTGAACTTGCTCAAAATCAGGAACACACAACTCTGCAATGCAAAAAACTACATTAGATAGATCTAGGATATGTTTACAGTGCTTGCAATTTTCCTTATTTAATATTTGATATACAAAGATAAACTATATACTGATGCTTATAGCGTGTTGGCATAAAAGTGGAACGCACCCCTAGTCTGATGATTGTGTTTAAACGAGTGAAAAAACACGAGCAGAACAGTATGCACGCGGCACGGACTTTATGCGCAAAGATTCTGAGCAGCCGCTCTTCTACGGGAACGCTTGAGAGATCGATTGGGATGCGGTCCGAAAGGGGGAGGGAGGGAGGGAGGAGAGAGAAAGAGCAAGAGAAAGAGACCAAACGTGGTCGGGGAAATTCGCGATCTCGCGTTTGAAAAGAGACCGTGGAAAATCCGGTTATGCGACTATTGGAGATTTGCGCAATGACGATACTCGACGAGTATTTAGCGAACGGTGATCGATGACGGACAAAATCGGAGCAAAAAGACTTTCAGATCGGAGACCGGTCTAATCGGAGAAAGACCGAAGGGGTTGCCTTACCACCGCGCCGGCGGGGAATGGCGCCCGGCGTATTGTGGTATTATCCAGAATTTTCCCTCGCGATTTCTTTCAACGACCGGCCTTTCGCGACGCAACCTTTCCGCGCGTGACAATCGCAACAACGTCGCTTCGTCGCTGTTACTCGCGTAGAGGTCAGACGGCGCGAAATTTCCCGGGTACGCGATGATGTACGTGAAAATGAACGGTAACACTTACCGTGCTGCACAGTCGTTATGGCTCACTATTGCTCACTATGGCGCTCCTCTGGGCGGTCAACTCAATGTATACCGTGCCTACCGTGGTCGAGTGGAGGCGATGTCACCTTACCGATTCGTCAAATTGAAGGGGCGTACGGATGCTCGCTTGAAGGATCGAGATCGACGGGAAAAAATCAAATTCGATTTTTCGCGTGTACAAATTCTTCCGGCAGCACGTGCTAACTTTGACGAACTGCACGATTTCACTCTCGGCTGACGCGGGCAGACGCAGGTTTGGTCAGCTCGGGCTGCAAGAAACGCGGAAACGCGCGCAGTTAGTGACATCTATATTCAGCGAGCCATGCGGTGTGTTCTGTGTTGCTCCGACCAGTCCGACCTCCGACTCCGATGCACGCAAAACGTCGGAAACTCTAATAATTAAGCCTAAACTACAGTAATGTGCTCTTTGTTTCGTGTTTCTTACTTTTTATCACTTTTTATTTCTTGTCTTTTTGTCTCTTACTTAGTTTTTTATTTTTAAGACCGAGATAAATGTTGAAGAACTTCGGAACAAGAAACACCGAAATGCGATTGTCGATAAAATGGACGCAAAAAAGGAAAACGCATGAGATAAAAAACACGGAATAGAAAGCAAAGAACCATTATAGATTAGGCTTTAGAGTCTGGACACGAAACAATCACTTAATTTTTACCCCGACGAGATATTAAAGATTAATAATCCTGAGTAAATTTGTAATTAATTGTTTATACTATACTTAAAAGAGCCCGAAGATAATTGAAGAGCATTGACATTATCGACAATTGATATAAATTTGTGGCACCTAGAAGATAGCCGCTTTGCCGGCTTGAACCGATGAGATATTATTAAAGACCATCGACCCTGAGCAAATTTTCGTGACTATTAGTCCGGATCTACAATGGGTGCTTTCCATTTGATGACACAAGTCGACATAAGCGTTGTTCTATCCTTGTTCACTTCAAAGAGTGACAAAGATAGAACAACACTTGTGTCGACTTGTGGCATCAAATGGAAAGCATTCAATAGGTGATTTAAGTCTTAAGCCGTAAGAAATTGACCAATCACAGTCGAATGTGAGAAGAATAATCGACTGATCAATTTCTATCGATGATTGATCAATTTCTTACTCTTACTTCTTACTCCGTGTATTATAGACGGGCCTATAGAAGGAACAGGGAACTAATGCCCGTATTCATAGTCAGACCTCATATTTAAGGCTTCCTTAAATTTATCTTCAGGTACTCTACGAATTATTTCATTGGCTATTGAGCATCTAAAGATAAATTTATTCGCGCAGAGAGAAACCTGAGCCCGGATCCTCATACGGGCAACAGCGCTTTGACACCGAACGCTGATTGGTGAAAAACGGATGATGGGGGTAAATTTTACCCCCACAACCGGCTTTTCACCAATCAGAGCTCGGTGTCAAAGCGTTGTTGCCCGTATGAGGATCCGGGCTGAGAGAGGACATGACGGCCCAAAATTATGGAAAGCACCCATTGTAGATCCGGACTAATAGAGCTTAAGGCTTTAACACAATAGGCACAGGCAACGGGAAATAACGGGTGGCACCCAGTTGGACACGGCTCAATTGGACACGAGCCACTCACAACGCTTGAGACTGCAAAGCTCCTAAGCACCGGTCGCTGTGATTGGTGGTGTCCAATCGAGCCGTGATCAATCGGGATCACCCCGAAATA